GAAGAACTGAGTGAGCTGTGATTGGTCACAGCTTGTCACATGGTACAAGCCTGTTGTGAATAGGCTTGTACCATGTGACCTCTGTGATCATTCACAGATTTCACACGTAGTAAGAATGATGTCACAAGTGACATCTTGCTTACTACTTTGCATGTGATCACTGATTGGCCAATCAGTGATCACATGATCGGGACCTCGTACAGAGGTCCCGTCCGACGATCGGTGTTTCACTGTGTCCGGAGGACACAGCGGGCACCAGATCGCGGTGCTGCGCGCTCCCAGGGAGCACTGCCACCGTCCGGCAGTTTATATGCAACGGCCGGTCGGGAAGTGGTTAAGAGTCTAGGTTGGTAATCCAGTTCCCATATGTAGGCCCATGATACAGCCATGCAAGTGCAGGGGGTGGGAAGGAAGCTCCAGCTACCCCTAGCCAATTCCACCACACACTCAGCTTCCATTTTCCATTGGCCCTAGGCCCAAGCAGGTGTCTCCTGTTACAAACCAAATAGGAAGCCTCCATATCTCCCAACTTTGTGAAAGGGGAATGAGCAAATGAATGAAGGCATAGGACACACCCCTGCCACACCCCATTAAAGGAGAATTATTTAAAAAAAAGATTAATGAAACCCACAAGTGCTTTTTTTTACAACTACCATTCTTTTATACTGGCTTTTGAAGTTTATAAACGCAATTTAGAAACTGGATGAAAGGTTTAGCACTGTGAAACACTTTTTGAATGATAAATAGTACATTTTATATACAATTATATAGATCAAACAAAAATGAGGGACAAATGACGAGGAAAGAGGGACAGAGGGACTTTGTTCAAAATCAGGGACAGTCCTTCTGAATCAGGGACAGTTGGGAGATATGAGCCTCTACTGCACCCCTGGATCTGAGTTCAGTCCTAAGGAAGGTTACTTTCCCAAACTGGGGCCTTTGCTAGATGGGGTCCTGGTGTTGCGGCAGTATTACTGCAGTATTAAAATATATAGGATGAGACCAGCCTATATCCCCGCGCTAAAGAAATGGTGAAAATATTGGCATACGAAAATAAAATAAAAAAATTACTAAACCAATAATTATATATTTAAAACAAAGCTGCTGTTTTAAATAACAAAAAAATCTATAAACAATGACTAAAAAAGTACACATAGACAGCGCTAAGTCAACACAATATCCAATTGATATAAAAGGTTAAAAGAAAGAAAAAAACTTCCACCAAAAAAAAATATAAAAATAAAATTATAATGTGAAAAGTTCAATTCATACCAGTGGTAAGTGTCTCTTTAAGACAAAGTGATCTACCATCCATGTGATCCTACAGTGATTAACACCCCATAGGATTCAACACTCACCAGAAGCTGGTGAGTAACCAGCATTGGAAAATTAGTAAGAATTCAATCAATCTCCTTAATAACGAATGGTTGTGAAATCTCGAACTTGATAATCAGCCAGCAGCCCAAAAGGATCTCCAATCAATAGATTATTAGCATCTCATTCTCTGATCTTCTCCTCATTCAGATTGGGAAATATCAATTCACATGGTCCCGGCGTGCGTGCTGACGTCACGGATGGTCACACCCTGACATGTTTTGTCATATCTGACTTCCTCTGAGGGTAACCCCCTCGGCCGTTGGCCGATATGAAAAAAAACACTGATACAGGTGCTGAAAAAAACCCACCCCTTCGCTGCTGCTCCTCGCCGCATCCCGCCCGCCGCTGCCGCCATCAGCCGCTGCTCGGTAGTTCTCAGCCTAACCTCAAGAGTTGGTTATGGCCAGCTCAGGGAATTGCTTCAAAAAAGGCCTGGATTCTTTCTTAGATACACAGAATATAAGTGGATACTAACATTTATAGGTAAAGTTGATCCAGGGAATATCCGATTGCCTCTCGGGGGATCAGAAAGGAATTTTTTTTCCCAGCAAAAGCAAAATGGATCATGCTTTGCTGGGTTTGTTTTGCCTTCCTCTGGATCAACTGTGGGTGTAGGATTATACTTTTTTTTTTCTATGGTTGAACTGCATGGAGTTTTGTCTTTTTTCAGCCAGACTAACTATGTAACTATGTAACCTGAGAAACCATCAAACGATCCCGGCGCTGGGCATTTTGAACTTGAATTTTGTTATGTTTGACAAAAAAGAACACTGAACCCATAATCCATAGTTTAAGATTAAAGCTGAAATCCATGCAGATATTAACAAACACCATTAAATGCAGGTACTGTGCCTGTTTGTGAGCAGTTCAGATTTAAAGCTAGTTTTACCTGGACAGTTTTTGATATCTCAGTTATGCAACCAAAACCTTGTAAGAGTGATTTGTTTGCAGTGCATTAGTTTTAATGTAAGCTGCTGTACAAGAAGACATCAATCACACAAGAACGGTCAATCTCCCACAATCATGCAATGCTGCAACTTAATCAAATAGCCAGATCTAGTGACTAATTTCCTTTGCTTTATAGACTAGGAAAAATAGAACTAGAAAAATAGAACACTGACATTTCAACTCATTTAATATCACTTCTGCTTATTTAGGAGGCTTTTGGGTCATTTTATGCTTTACCCCTACATTATTGTCTCATGAAAAAAAATCCCTTAAACATTGATTAATAAATCTTCAGCAGTCGCATTCAATAGCAATTTGTACAGTAGCAAATTTGATTCATTTTTGGAGATGAAAATTTGCTTGTGTAGCCCGTATAACAAAATATCCATGTCACACTGTTGATTCTGCAACTGGTAAAGTATTATCGAAATGCAACTGACACTGCCTAGGGAAGTCACGGCCTTGCTGGCTAAAAGCTTGCATTTCTGTAAGACAGTTGATTGTAAAAACAAGCATTAAGAGGTCAGATATGGTATGTACAGTATGACAAGTGTAAGCCATGTACCGGGGTGGGCTCCCGAGGACACAGTGCAGTCATGAACAAGGAAAGCAACCCCAACACCAGCTTTTGCCACAACAGAATTTTACTTAGATGTGGCAAATAAACACAACCACAAATGCTGGAAACATACAATAAATTTACATACACCCAGCCCAAAGGCTGAGACCCTTGTGCTGCACAGCACGGCGCCTTCTGATGGATGAAGGTAGAAAGTGAAGTAATTTACCTACTGGTGGGCACAAGCTGCCACGCCTTACCTGTTATTACCCTAAAAGAGCAGGAATCATTGTATGGGTGTACGGTATGGGCTAGTCTGCAGTGCAGCACAACAGCTTACAATCTTACACAAATCTACAGTATTCCCTCTCCCATAACTGGTCCTGTAGCACATGCCTGAGTATTCCCTCTGAGCAAAACGTCAGTCTGGCTTGAGTTTGTGGGATTTTATCAGCTCTCCAATGTGAAATGTCACTTTAAGTTGTGGAGTCCTTCCAATGATCAGTAACAACACTTGTGGCCTGACACAAACAGAGACCCTAACTAACTAACTATAGGCCTGTCTCAGTCTCTGGAGGTGCCAACACTGAAATGAAGTGCGTGCACGATCTCACCGACCCAGGTCTACCTTGTATCCGCCGGTGACTCAGAACAGAACAAATGTCTCTCCAACAAGCATGCGATCTCATCAGCCTTCCTGGCAGCAATCTTCCTTTCTCTGAACAGGATCAGCGTCTTGAACACCATCAGCTTCACTTAGCTGCAGTTCTCACACCTGGATGCCAACGGATTCGCTGCTCACATGGCTCTTTTCCTTCACCATCATCAAAACATGGCTGCAGTCTCTCTTCCTGTTCACTGAGCTCCCATGTGTAAACCCCACCCCTTCATGAATATAGAAATATCTATGCAGTCTGAGGCTGTGTTGGAAAAACAGTGACATCTTGTGGCTAAACCGCAGAATGTCAGTCACAACATTTCAAAACATCTAATTTACCCCCCCATACAGTGTTCAAACAATGAGAGCTGTTTCCCCATCTCACACAAGCATCAACAGAATGACAATTAATATATACTATAGTGAGTATATAGAGTGCCAAGACCTGCCACTATCTATACCTAACAGTAACAGTGGCACAAACAGTACTTTAATTCTTCAGTCTTCTCTACAGAAAAAGGATTGATTCACTTGCAAGTTGGAAAACATCCCTATGCATTAACAAGTGCATGTGACTGCAGTAGGAGTTATCTTTATCTTAGAGATAATACAAGCTACCTCTAGACCCCGCATCTCTATACATATAAATAGGACCCCAACATTGGATGACATTAGACTTGAAAGCTATGTCAAGCATTTATTGAATATTTTTTCTCAATGTACTTTTACCGTCCCTAATGGCAGAAAGCACTTAATGCACACAAGGAATTCCTGCCAAGCTTCCCATTTTGACGCATGAGTGTTTTGTGTCTAATTAACTGCATAGTCAAAAAACAAGAAATGAGAGAAAATCTGCAACAGGGACACAAACAGCAATGAAATGGGGCAGAGATTCCAGCTTTCCCCTACTCTACTAATTAAAAACAATGCCATTTTTATCACCGTCTCTGTTGCAATTGGAGAATGTCTCTCACTTTCTGTGTGGTGAAACCATTGTCACTGTCAGTTAGTGTGGGTGTATCTCTGTAATCTCTGTAAGGAACCCAAGAATAGCAGTAAAAACATGGTAGGGGTTCTTATGCTTCCCCCCACTCCCATTGTAAAACTAAATAAAAGGGTTTTGGCTGGATATGCACTCTACTGTCCTCTTTGCCAATTAAAACTCCTAGTTCTTAAAGTAGCATTCCAGTTGACTCTTAACTACATTTAAACCTTCTCATGCCCCCCCTTCTAAGCCTATTCAAACTACCCTGTAAAGAAAAGATGTCTATACCTACTTTTTCTGAGGGTGCTCCGGACACATGATCTCTCCAGCGGCCAGCTTCAGTGAAGAGGAGAGATTGCCAACAATGTCACCTATAGGCTTAATATGGAACATACGGTGTCAGCAGGGCCAGATCTAGCCTGTCCAATGTGCGGGTGCAGAAAAAATGTCAGGGGGCAGAGGATGGGAGATCAGCAGGGCAGTGTACAAGGGTATAGGATGGGGCCAGCATTATGTAGGGCAGTGTACAGAGGCTATTAGTTTGTAGGGCAGTGTACAGGAGATAACAGAGCTGAGAACAGGGGTCACTGCAAGCAGGGCAGAACACAGGGGTCACTGGTGGCAGGGCAGAACACAGAGGTCACTGGTGGCAGGGCAGAGGGCAGGGGTCACTGCTGGAACAGAGGTCACTGCTGGCAGGGCAGAGGACAGGGATCACTGCTGGCAGGGCAGAGGACAGGGGTCACTGCGGGCAGGGCAGATGACAAAGGTCATTGCTGGCAGGGCAGAGGACAGGGATCACTGCTGGCAGGGCAGAGGACAGGGGTCACTGCTGAAAGGGCAGATGAGAAAGGTCACTGCTGGCAGGGCAGAGGACAGGAGTCACTGCTGGCAGGGCAGAGGACGGAGGTCACTGCTGGCAGGGCAGAGGACAAGGGTCACTGCTGGCAGGGCACTCAGCAGAGCTCCTTCTCCTATCCCTGCACTGCACACAGCCTGGGCACAGGCAGAAGAGCTCCTCCTCCAGGGGAGTGGTACAGGCAGCCTTTCTCACCCCGCTGGGCCCCTGCTGACCAGATCATCGATTTAGCTAGGCAGTACATTTACCTGCACTGAGAGGGCAGCTGTCTGCAGTATGGTTCAGCAAGCAGGCAGAGTGTTCAGGGTGTGGAAGGGGCAGCTAGCTTTAGGGGGGCACAACTAAAATCTAGGGGGGCATAGTGGTAGGCCATGTAAAATGACAGAGCTGGGTCAGGGCATGCTGAAGTGCACAGTGTGCAGAAGTCACCAACTGTCTGCAGAGTCAAGAGCTAAAGACCTCCAAACTTCATGTGGCCTTCAGATTAGTACAACAGTATGTAGAGAGCTTCATGGAATGGGTTTCCATGGCCGAGCAGCTGCATCCAAGCCTTACATCACCAAGTGCAATGCAAAGTGTTGGATGCAGTGGTGTAAAGCATATCCCCACTGGACAACAGAGAGACGTGTTTTCTGGAGTGACGAATCACGCTTCTTTGTCTGGCAATCCGATGGACATGTCTGGGTTTGGCGGTTGTCAAGAGAATGGTACTTGCCTGACTGCATTGTGCCAAGTGTAAAGTTTGGTGGAGGGGCGATTAAGGCGTCAGCATATCAAGACACTTTGGACAATTTCATGCTCACAACTTTGTGGGAACAGTTTGGGGATGGCCTCTTCCTGTTCCAACATGACTGTGCACCAGTGCACAAAGCAAGGTCCATAAAGACATGGATGAGCAAGTTTTGGGTTGAGGAACTTGACTGGCCTGCACAAAGTCCTCACCTCAACCCGATAGAACACCTTTGGGATGAATTAGAGCGGAGACTATGAGCCAGGCCTTCTCGTCCGACATCAGTGCCTGACATCACAAAGGTGCTTCTGGAAGAATGGTCAAACAATCCCATAGACACACTCCTTATGGACAGCCTTCCCAGAAAAGTTGAAGCTGTTATAGCTGCAAATGGTGGGACAACTCAATATTGAACTCTACGGACTAAGACTGGGATGCCATTAAAATTCATGTGTGTGTAAAGGCAGGCGTCCCAATACTTTTGGCAATAGTGCATGTCATATGTAGTGGGGATACTTAACACTTTCACAATTATTTTTAGAGATATCCTCCCACTGACAATTTCCCACTGACATCATTGCTATTTTTAGCTGTCTATAAGGAGATAATTCTCCCCACCGACCATCACACTAGGGCATTATGACTTGTAGATATAGTCATTTGTAGCAGGGGTTCCCTGAGACTGGAAAAATATTTCAAGGGTTCCTCTGTGTTGAAAAATGTTGAGAAAGGCTGCTTGAAAATGTAACTATAGGCAAGGCAGTACATTTTCATTTTGGATAGAGTAAGGGAGGGTTATAACCCCTGTCAGTTTTTTCTATATTTTGCCATCTGTGTCCTTACTAAAAGATGTCCCCTCTATCATGTTTTTGGGGACAACCCCAAATTTGGGATTTTCTTTTAATTTCACTTTCAATGATAACAGTAAACAGGACAGATAGAGAGGGTGGATTTCCCTAATGTAGGAACAGACAGCTATAAAAACCTAATCAGTGTTCTAATACCTCTCCACCCTATCCGAAAGACAAAAAAAAGTTTTTCATTTAGTTATACTTTAAAGTGATTCTAAAGCCTTATTTTTTAAAAGAAAAAAAATAACAAACATGTCATACTTTCCTGCTGTGTGCAGTAGTTATGCGCAGAGCAGCCCGCATCCTCCTCTTCTCGGGTCCGCCACAGGCTCTCTTTGCCCCTCCCTCCTGTCGGGTGCCCCCACAGCAAGCAGAATGCATGAAGGTAAAAAACCTTGAGCCTTTAGAACCACTTTAAGTAAATATATTTCTAAATGTCAAATATTGAAAGAAAATTGTATAAACAAATCTCATACATATAAAAATATCCTTCTGTCACCAATAAAAAAAAAAAAACAATATTGTAGAAGAAGCGTACTTATATATGTGTGTGATTTTTTATACTATTTTCATTCATTTGACATTTATAAAGATATTTTGTGATTACCTAATTTTACTTTTTTTAACTTCTTTGTTTTTGATACACCACATGTGTCCTGTGAAAGCAGCTTTCCTTTGACTGGTATTCTAGTCACCTTTTTTCTTTTGTATTACATATGGTGCAGGGATGGCACTGATTTACTGAGTTGGCATATTTCTACACTCTAAACTATTTTACCTCTTTATTAGCAATAGAAACTGACAGGGGTTCTAATCCTTCTCCACTGTATCCATCCCACTGGATGTCGCATGAGATAAACTACCACATGGTTTCATGAGATAAATACCACATTTTGCACTGAAATACCACATGACTTATTTTGGTAGCGTTTTTGTGACTGCCATAAAACTTTTTGAAAAACATTATTTAGCATTTAACGCAACTTTTAAAGCGGAAAATACAGCTTTGTGAATGGAGCCCACTGTCCTCTGTGTGCAGCTGAAGATTGAAAAAAAGGCAGGTTACAGGTAATTTTTGTGGCCTGATAGCTTCCTTCAATTACTCCAAGGCTTTATTCACACCAGTGCGTTAAGGGTACACGTGTAAACTCATGCTCTACCTGGCAGAGCACAAAAACACAATTGGGTTGTTTTACTAAAGGAAAATAGACTGTGCACTTTGCAAAGTGCAGTTGCACTCTGCAAGTGCAGTTGCTCCAGAGATTAATAAATGAGGTAAAGCTTCACTTTGAAAAGAATACCCAGTTCATTTTTGCTTCCAAATGATTGGAAAATGGAAGTCAGAAGAGCTTCTGCTCATTTACTAAGTTCTGGAGCAACTGCTCTTGCAGAGTGCACCAGCACTTTACAAAGTGCACAGTCTATTTGCTTTTAGTAAATCAGCCTATGTCTCTAATTCTTAATGGCACCCTCAAGCATTTTTACAATGAGGCTGGGCCTTTTTTTTGCCTGTTTCTCATGCATAGGGCAGCCCATTGAATTTAATGGACTACCCTTGATGTGATTCATGGAAACGTAAAAAAGCATGCACACTCTGTCCCACCTCCTTATGTAAATGGAGCCTAAATGAAAACCTTTTTAAAACCTTTTTTTTCTTGGTAACATATTTGTGCTATCTAGTTATGTCTTTTAAATTGTTTATCTGTAATGTAAAATGTGGTTTTCATAATTAGTACTATACACGAGTGAAAAGAATTGTGTTTTTTCTTCAGGATACACTTCAGTGATTTAAGTGCGGTAATACTGTGGCAGTGAAAAGCTCAAACATCTCCTTTCTCCAACAAGCAGAAGAATACAAGAATTATTTAAATGAATTGAAATATGCATTTCATTTAAATCATGTCAGTCACTAGAGCTTGCTGCGTAACAAACAAAAACCTTCTGACTTCCAACCAAGCATTTAGAATTACTGTATATAGAGCACCTGGTCTGTATTGTGTTCACTAATCAGCCCCACCTGTATGCCTAGAAGACCATGGTTAGCAAGGTTGCTGCTGTTTATGTATAGGGTGGACATGAGCTCTTTGTACAGTTTGAACTATTAATGTGGATTTGTTGGACGCATATTGTAAACACCATAGAAAAGCTTAAATCTTGCTTTTTTCTGTGTAATTTTTGTTAATTTTTGGTTGGTCGTGGAAAGCATGTTCTTTTGATGATGGTAAAGTAGAACTAAGGGCAACATAAAACAATGACACGTGATGCAGGCTGCCAATAGCAATAACACAGCAGTCCTTGTTTTCTCTCCATCACATATCATTTTAATATATTTTAGCAGTAGCACAGATGGGGGAGTCCTCTCTTCACATCAGCTTTCTTTCTTCACATCACAGCCCCTCTTCATATCAGAGTCCCCTCCCTTTACATCAGAGCCTCCTCCCTTCAAAAAAGAGTCCCCTCCGTTCACACCAGAGTCCCTCGATTACATCAAAGTTCTCACATCACATCAAAGTCCCTCTTCACATTTGAGTCCCACCTTTATATCAAAGTCTCCCCTTCACACCAACGTTCTCTAACTTCACACCAGAGTCTCCTATTTACACCAGAGTTCCTCCAATATATCAGATTATCCCCTTCACATAAGAGTCCACCCATCACACCAGCGTCCCCCCCTTTCATTAGAGTCCCCTCCTTTATGCCAGAGTTCCCCCCTTCACACCAGATTCAGCCCCATCTACATCATAGTCAGTCTTCATTACATCAGAGTCCCCTATCACACCAGAGTCACCCATTACACCAGGGTCTCCCCATTACACAAGAGTTCATCCTTTATATCAGAGTTCCCCTATCACACCAGAGTCCCCACAATACATCAGAGTCCCCCTTCACATCAGAGTCCCATCCCTTCGATTCAAAGTCCCCTACCTTCACACCTGAGTCCCTTTCTTTTATACCACAGCCCTTTAGTACATCAGATTCCCATCATCACATAAGAGTCTGCTCATCATACCAGAGTTCCCCATTACAGCAGAGTTCCCTTATTACACGAAAGTCCCCCCTTCACACCAGAGTTCCCCTCTTCACACCAGAGTCACCCCCCCCTTCCCCCACATCACAGCCAGTCCCCATAACATCAGAGTTCCCCATTACACCAGAGTCTCCTCATTTCACCAGAGTCCCCCCTTCACAGCAAAGTCCCTCTTTCCCATATGACTCCCCCATCACATCACAGTCAGCCCATCACATAGGAGCTCCCCTTTAAAACAGAGTCCCTCGTTTATAAATATAGTCCTATATTCACTTCTTGAGCATGGCTGTGGCATCATGGCAGAGGATAAAGGTAGAGCAGGTCTGGACTGAAGCAGGACTTCCATCCTTTTCTGATTGCCCACCTTGGATCAACATAATTCATTTACATGGTGTG